TTGGGTGCACGAAGCCAGGAGCCGTCCCTGGCGAGTCGATCCTTGTCTCTTCCCCTGGCAAGGCAGAAGTCCTCAGGTAAGCGGCAACAAGCCAGTAACGAGGAGCTGTGTCAAGACTTGGTGGAGCTGTTGGGGAGGGATATAAGGGGCAGCTCACCAGCAGGTCTGTGGGGGAATCAATTGCACTTGTAACCTGGAATCTCCCTACAACAGGCAGATCCATCCTACCCTCCCTCTCTCGCTGTTTTTGGGCCCCTGTCCCGAGCCTCTGGTAGACCAGCAGTACTTCACCCCATTTTGCCTGGCCAGAGATTCAGCTCTGGCGTGCTGCAGTGTCCAAACCACAACACCGGGAAGGTGCTCCCAAGCTCTTAGCAAGCCGGGAGCACAGCTGACTAGCTTGAAGAACTGACTGCTTTGATCTATAGATCAATCAGCAGGGAAATTTCTCAAGGTAATTCCTGCCTGAGCCCAGCTCTGCAGCTAAGCCTGCTTTTAGGGGGAGAAATCCACTCCCCGGTGAGCACCCTGGTTCTCTGGTGCTCGCAGCCTGCGCCACGCCATGCCTGGCCATGGAAGTGCTCAATCTGCTGCCTTATTTCCAAGGATGCGTTTTTGCGCTAGCCTGCTGGGTATTGCCCTGTCGCAGCCTGCACTTTACTCCCGGTCTTTGCACCAGTGAGGCTTTACCAAAGCCGGTCAGAGGAGCCGTGGTCTGTGCTGGGTCCGGGCTCCTGCCGCCTTTGCTGCTTCAGGTCTCTGCGAGCGTTCGGCGAGGCTGATCCCTCTCCCCATGAGCATGAGCCCTCCAGGGAGAGGAAGGCGGGTGCTGAAGGTGACTTTGTCTGAACAAGGTGACCTCCACGTCCCCTTGCCGCTTTTATTTCCCAAATGACTCTTCACCCGCGGAGGACGTGCTGGGCTCCCTGTAAGAGCCGTGTGGGGATGGAGGACGGGAGCAGAGTGGACAGGAACCCACAGCGGTACCCGGGAGGGAGGCGGCGAGGCAGAGGAGAGCACGGGGTCTGCGGTGGACCCTGCTGGTCTCCAGAGGAGAAGCGGCTCTCCCACCGGCCCCATCCCCGCATGTGTCCCCCTCCTCCCCGAGCTCAGCAGTGGTGGGGTGATCATTGGCGCAAGTACAGAGAGATGACGTGCTGTTCGGCCTTGGCGGAGAAAGGATTGAGCATCCTTTAAAGAAAATTATACATAATCGTCTTACTGCCTTCGCTTCTACTCAAACCTCTGAGTCATAACTGAAGAGCCCTGGAGCGTGACGTTCCTGCTGGAAGGAAATTGCCTCGGCT